TGTTATCATAAAAAGAGAGTGTGAATGTCGTCAAAAGGACAGAATTTTGTTTTTGTTTTTGTTCTGTAGAACTGTACAACCTGCAGATAGTTTCACTGTTTCGAGTTCTGAGAGTTCAGATTAGACGACAACTACTTGCTGTGATTGCATCTACGATAAGACACTGAGGACTGTAAGATGTTTGCAGTGAGTTCTGAATGGTATCTTCACACTAAGCACTTAACAAGTCTTCAAGAGTTTAATGTTACATTTAATCTTCTACATTTAAATTGTGGAAGATGCTCAAATTTAAGATCTTGTAATGTTTAAGAGGTAATCACATTTTGTTCAAGTAACAGAATGCTTCTCTATAGAGTCCATACCGCTCCAAGGCCCAACAGTCCTCTTATGAAACCACATCTAAATTCACTAGATCTGCATTGGTTTTTTGGCTCTGTACAAAACCATGCACACTCATGTATCAATCCCAAAATAATGTCAGATTATTACATAAAGATCCATGAATTCTTCACTGAGAAATCAATGAAAATGTTGGAAAAATTGTTCCTGGATCTTCTCCTTAATCTGCGCAAAATTGTATTCTTTCTTAACCCATACTACACCCTTCCACTAAGTTTTGTGGTAATCCAGTAGTTTTTTTTGGATAATCCTGTCAACGATCAAACAAAGGCAGATAAAAAAATTACCTACTAGGCGGAAAACTAAAGTGGCACTAAGTAGGGTGCATACCTCCACCAAGCCCCGACTTAAATTCAGTCAACCACTCCAAACTAAATACACTAGTAGATATCTGTCCCCTAAAAATGCCTATATTTTTCATTCAGGTCAATAAACTATTACTTTGGAAATTGTTGAAAATGACAAAAAAAGCTCTGTCTATTAAGGGTTCTTCCCTGACCCATACCAGCACCTTCCACCAAGTTTCATAGTAATGGATCCAGCTTTGTGTCCAGTGTGCATAATCCTTCTAAATGACTAATAAACAAATGCAGACTTTGATGGAGGTAACAAAGTCTTAATGATAAAACTTCTCAACTGATAGGAAGTAAACGTAGTGCGAAGATTCCCATTAGAAAGTAGAACCTCTCTTTGCGACCCTCAGTTCGAGAGCTCTCTTTCTGTGGAGCTGGCAGACATGTGCCGTCACACCAGTGTGCATAGCTCAAATAGCTCTGACAGCTGAGAGATACTCAACAACATCTGCACACGTACTCACATACTAAAGAGCCACTTTGATAGCAGGGTGTAGTGCACTGGCCTTGCATATAAACAATACAGCACTTTACCACTGATCAGAGTGGCTGCACAAAACAGGATATCATGGGAAAGACTTCAGTCATCGTTCTTTTTACATTCACATTGTGTTCGTCATGTTATTCAGCTGACGACAGCATTGCGTCAAAAGGTTTTAGCATTGACTCTCTGCATGTTGTCTCATTGGAACAGAGCTCTACGGCAAAGATTTGATCCTATTTTTCTAATTGCTCCCCTTCTGTTAGCCTGCTGCTCTCTGGTACTGCAGTGCATTTACCTTCTTGCTTTCAATAGAAGCAAGATGGCAGACAGACAGACAGATTATGCAATAAACTGTTATAAGGCACTTTACAGATGTGTCTGGACCGGTTGCGATCGCAACTCCGTCTGTCCGAGGCACTGTTCATATGTAGCTACGCTGTACTAATGTATCTCAGTCAGACTAATGTATTCACATTAGGTTCATATATCTACATTAGACAGATTTAACTGCATTGGATCGATATATATTAGATCCCTTTTACACTTGGCTTGAAATTCCCTGCGTAGATGGAATATCTTTCAAGACGAGCTCAGAGCTTCAGGCCACATTATGATGTCACTTCTGACTTCTCCCTCTGATTGAGGAAAGCTCGACAGCAGATTTCTGAAACCCAAGTCTGCAGTGCTATGTTCATCCTAATCTGGAAAAAATGGTATGACCAGAGATACAAAAAAATCTTCATGAAAGTTGTATCTAGAGTGAATTGTGATAAAGCGTGGTTGAACCATACCTCATCACATTACAGCCTTTATACAGCGCTGTGCCGTGGCTGCAGAATGGCCTGGCTGCATTCTAGGGCTGTCACTTTTAATTAAAAAAAGAAAAAATCAAGTTCCAACGGATTTGACGTGACATGCTGTTAGTTGACGTGAATCTGCTGCCTCACTTGGGTGGAAAGCTGAGGAGTAGCTTTAACTTTGTCCGTTACTTCGCCGTCTACGATGTAGAACCCAAAACACTTCCAAAAGCCGCTTCTCAGATGCTTTGGTGTCGTGATTTTCCTCTCAAGAAGGATTTGCTTACTAGCGCATTTTCGCAGCAAAACACTGTAACATTGCTGACTTACTTTACTGATAGCTCCAGAGAGGAGCATGCAGTAGGTCAAACTGATAGTGAACTCCCTCTGCTCGATCATGATGGAAACTACTTCAGACGTTCTGATGTGCTTCTAGATCTGTATATTTCAAATTGAACAGGTCATCACAATCAGAGTATGATCTCTTTCCGACGACTGAATGTTTGAATAAAAAGTGACAGCCCTACTGCATTCATTATTATTCTGCCAAAGGAAATAAACACCCTTACTTATGAGTATTTAT